GCTCTTGTGAACACGGTAATGAACCTTCGGGTTCCATAAAATGCTGGGAAATTCTTGAGTATTTGCAGATTTTGCAGCTCCTCCTGAAGGGCTCAGCTCCATAAGTAAGTAAGTAATCTCTATCTCGAAAATTATGAAGGCAGTTCGTATAACGTATTGAGACATGGGCTTATAATTGACTCGAAACCTCAATTTGAGGAGGGACTGTATTCATAGGATTAGTGTCTCGTCCTAGCACAGGACTGTAGGACGGATAGACCACAGAAGATTTTATTTTGTCTGATTATTTTTTAGTTTCCTGTCTGATGATTCTTATTGTTTTAAAAATCATGTTGCATTGCACTTCTATCAGTGATCATAATGACCGTGAAGATTACTGTCTTCTGGGATCGAACGCCTTGTAGTCTAATATAACTTCACCGACGTTTCGGAGGAATATTTCTACATCTTCAGTGTCGAAGAGAATGTGAGTGTTTGCTGCTTGTTTCCTCGACACTGAAGACGACGGCAGTAGGTTCTTCCGAAACGTCGGCAAATTTCTACCATGCTGCACAGCGTCACATCACATATAATATAAATAAATTTTGGTAGTGGTATTTTCTCTGCAAAACATGTAATGGTTAAAACGCCATGACTTTGTCGTCAGAAACTCGTTTTTGACGCTGATGTTCAAATCGTGAAGAGGAGGTTTACAATAAAGTACGGTAGAGAACGTTTCGCACATCCTACCTCTTGCAACTGGGTGCCAAATGAACTAATAATCAGACGATGAGAATGAAGACGCATAGAATCTTTTCTGTTGAAAAAATATTTATGTGTATATTTATTTCTGTATTCTGTGGTCTAGTGGTCAGCGTTCCTGGCTACAGATCCAGAGGTCCGGGTTCGATTCCCGGCGCTACCAGATTTTTTCGGAGAAGTAGTGGGTCTGGAACGGGGTCCACTCAGCCTTGTGATGATAACTGAGGAGCTATTTCAAGGAAATAGCGGCTGCGGTCTAGAAAACCGAAATTAACGGCCTTGGGTATTCGTTGCGCTGACCACGCGACACCCTCTATCCGCAAAAGTTAGCATTAAACTTCGCCGACAAACGGCGGTCACTCGGTCGGTATAGTTCGCTTGCGGACTAAAATCACGGAGTTTGTTTTCTTGTTTGTTATATATACTTATTGTACGTCCCTTTATTATTACATGCCCTCTTGGAGGAAAAAAATCCTTGAAATGTTGTATTGGAAAACTTATCACTAAAACAGTCACATAAAATGACAAATAAACACCTTTGCTAATTTTAACTGCACAGTTCCCACAAAGAGAAACAAACCGTTTCAAATCGTTATCTATGTCATTATCTTGTAACTTGAACAATATCCTATAAGGTCACGCGGTAAAAACTGTAGGTTGTGTATAGGAAAGCATGTAGTTTTGTACCATCTATAAGTGAATGGAGTTAAAGTGTAAATAGAATAAAAAGACAGTCCTACGTCAGAGATTGCCAACTGATAATTTACGTCAATTTCGGCAGTATTACGAAATTGGCTTCAGTTTGCATACGTAAGTCACGACTTAACGGTTATATTAATTTATTTGCAGTTCATTTAACATTGATCTCAGCAACTCAAAATCTGTAGGGATAAATAGCAGAGTAATTAATATGAAACCCCTTGGTCAGCATAATCGATGTGCCTGCCCAGGTTAGGATGCATCTAGTTTAAAATTCAGGAATACTGCCACAGTCAATAAGTTCGTGGAATGGCCGCAAAGGGTCGTACAGGAATTTCTTGCCAATATGTTTCAGCAATGTTTTCGACAGCTATATCAACGTTGGCAGACTTGCATAGCGACCAACGGCAACTATTTTGAGGGCCGATGTGGATCTGTATAAGTGTATGTGAATACCTTGTAATTTCATTCATCAGTAATCTGTCAGACGACAGGTCCACATTCCACATTCCACGAACTTAATGACTATCACGTATAAGAACTGAGCCAACTTTCTCGGTAGTTGTCTCAAAATTTGTATTCCTATAGGCCTGTATAAATACTGTATATCCGGTATGAATTTATTCTATTCTTCGAGTTGTTGGATTAATTTGCGTCAGGTCTTACCAAATTTTCAGTGGATGATAAACTACGGGGGAGAGTCAGTAAATATACAAATATACAAATGGATATAAAACGTAAAATATAAGATATTATGATCTGGAAGAAACATTTATTTCTCGGCATATCCTCCGCCAAAATTGATACGCTTGTCCCATCCCCTTACCAATGCGTCGAAACCCGTAATCTTTCGACTATTGTCTCAAACACTTCCGCACCTCCGTTTCAACCTCTTCGTCATTAGAGAAACAGTTGCCACTCAGTTGTGGGGCTCTTTAAGCCATAAACACTTCCCACCGTAAACAGGAAATATTTATTTACGAATATTCTTTTCATTGAGTCCTTTTGTCTCTAAAAACGCATAAGATAACTCTGCTCTTCGGTATTATAAACCTCAAGTACCGTCACCATTTTGATTAGAGAAACCAGCCCCTGAAAATTCTTATGCACGTCTGCTAGTTAATGAAGCTGTACTGTGCTGCTGCCTAGTGATACACATAGAGAACCTATTACATCCATTACAGCTGTTTTACTTCCATTTGTGGTCTATTTACTGACTCTCCCTCACATAAAAACATTTAGGAAATTTGAAAGATATTGTCTTCTGAAACGCTATGTCATATAGCCCGTAGAAGTTCATGAACGTTTTCGGGGAACATGCTTCCTCCATCTTCAAGGTGAAAGTGTACGCCAAGCAAGTAAAAAGCAAGCAGCTCTGTTTCCTGCATTTGCTCCTTACTGTTGCATGGTTTGTTTCCTTTTTGGCTCTGAAATTGTAGCTAGTACATTCCTCCAAAACACAGATGAAATTCAATCAGACTATACGGTGTCATACCCCAAAATATAAACAGTTTTCTTGCGCTGAATTCAGTCGCAATGTGACTTTGACTTTGACTTTGAGTTGAGTGGAACCCGTCTGGAGGCGGGGTCGAATACCTTCACCGTGACCCTGCGAGTCGTATGAGGCGACGAAAAGGGAAGTCTCAAATCTGAGACAGTAAAATATGGTCGCGAGTCCTTAGGGACTCGGACCCGAGGAAGACTGAACTGGCAAGGGCTAGCAGCAATACAAAAGACAGACCCGTCCTCTCGTCAGAGAGGGAGCCCCACAAAAAACAAGACCGTAACTGTCAGACAGTAATAAATATCTGCTCATGAGCCTTAGGCGGGGCTCTACACCAAGACTTACTGACTTACTGTCAGTCGTAATGTGACTTTGACTTTGACAGTGAGTTCAGTTCTGAGTATTATTAGCCAGCGGACAACGGCATGGGCACAGAAGCTGAAAAATCTCCATTGTTGAGAGCTGTTACCAAGCAACGACTAGAGAAGACTATAAAAGACAGAGGCTTAGAGTGTGCTGTAGTGATTTGTGAAGTGTGTAGATAAGCGGTAGCGTTTTGTTGCTTGTAGTTCCGAGTCTTGTGTGTAAATGGTCATTAAATCCATTGACCAATCCAAACCCCGTCTATAGTCACTCTAAACACGTGACATTATTATTATTTAAACCTTACAGCCTTCTATGAGCCGACTGTATAGAAAATATGGGAACCTCAACATCTCCACGGCCTGTTACAGGGATACATTTAATTTTTCTTATTATTTAAATTGCATTGTTTTGTATTTTATTTGGAAGTGTTTTGTTGTTGTTTTTCTTCTTACTCGTGCTCACTTTATAATTCTCCTCTGACCTGTTAAGTTTGCACGTAAATAAATTTGTGAAATGAATTAATAGCTCACAAACTGTCATTTTTTGTGTTCTGTTTGTGTTTCGTTCTCTTTTCATTATATTTGTACTCACTTTGAAATTTGTCTCCGGGCTGTTAAGTGTTAAGAATTTATTGAACTGAATTATTTGAATTCGCACTCGTTTCCATTCGTGCTGATCCTCTATTGGCCACTGGGTCTTGAGATCAGCACATAAATAAAGAATTGAGCTGAATTGTTATTTTCGTAACTGTTAGCTGGCCACAGGTCGTTAACCAAAATATTTCTCTCTGTGGTCTTGTGGTCAGAGTTCTTGGTTACAGGTCCTGAGGTCCCTGGTTTGATTCCCGGCGCTAACAGATTTTCTGAGAAGTAGCGGGTCTGGAAAGGGGTCCACTCTGCCTCGTGAGGATAATTGAGGAGCTATTTCTTGGAAATAGCGGGGCCGGTCTATAAAGCCGAGATTAACGGCCGTGGGGATCCGTTGCGCTGACCACGCGACACCCTCTATCCGCTAAAGTTGGGACTAACTTCGCCGACAAGCGGCGGTCGCTTGGTCGGTGTAGTTCGCTTGCGGACTACAGGCCACGGAGTTTGTTTTGTTTCAACTGTACATCTGTTTGTTGTAAACCATTAATCGCCATATTTACTACCATGACTTTAAAAGGGACGAGCAGTTTATAATTAGGCATTTTTTTATTTCTATTAATGTCCAGTTTTTTAGTAAACCACTCTTCCGAAAATTATCTCTTCTTTAGGAAATTATGACGATGGATAAAATCCAAAATAACAGTTGTAGTCAGTGTATCATCCCAGCTTTAAAAAAAATGGAACTAACACATTATAGTAAATTTATACAACGACAGGTATTGCAAGTTTCAGGCAAAATACTTTGCAATGAAATTACAAAAGATTACATTTGTGGTATATAATGGATACTCGTTTGATCTGAATGTATTGATCATCAAATAATAAAGTGTAGCTAGCACAAGTTATTTTCATTTTGTCGTAAACAGCGTAGAAGATAGCTTGGTCAGTATCACACTTAGTTGATATATGACGTCATAACATTCCCTCCTTCCCTCCTTCCCCTATTGCATTTTTAAGGTATAATTCACATAACCAGTTTGGATAACATGCACTAAACTTTCGTTGAAGTAGGTAGCAGTTAGAATTCAGTGCCACGGTGAAAACGACATATGCAGCTGTGCCTTAATTACTGCTGCTCTGTGTGTTTGAAAGTGTACATTCTTTCTACCGACTTGATGTTACAGATCAAGGTTATGACAGTTTACTTCTGTTCATAGTGGCAATAACAAGTACATTTAGCTTTTACAAATGTGCAGTGATTTTGTGTATAGGCGACGGATTATTTTTCAGAACTTGCTTTGAATATTGTGTGAGAATGATATAATGGAAAATGTAAGTTGATAAACAAATTCCGTTAATCGCTTATTTTTTTCAAAATGGAGAAAAGAATGCAAAGCTGAAAAATAAAAATTAATGTTATTCACCTAATCTGTGTACCGATACAGGGATTTGTTCCTTTAAATGAGAGAAAAATAGAACAAAAGAGCAGTAGAATTGTGAGTGAGAAAGAAAATTCGTAGGGGAAATGATACACAATTCATTCTGAATGCAGAAAAAGCATAAACTTTTTCACAAGGTTTACAGATCTCGTCAGCCCGATCTTCTGATAAGAACGCTCGCTTCAGTAACACAAGTTCAATTCCCACCTCGCAGAAAACTGAATTCGTTTCCGCTATAGAGATCAGCTGATTAATGATGTTTAGAGAAATAATATTTGTCTGTTTTGAAAAAGACATAAATATATTCCGCTGGTAAAATGTAGAATTTTTTAATGTAAAATCAGATGCTACATACCTCTGTCTTGCATGTCTGCCAAAATTGATCGATAACTCTTAAATTCAAAACATTTAAAGTATTTGATAACGAAGTGCTAAATAAATTGAAAACTTCTCAAACTCTCCTTTTCATCCCGTATATATCTCTTAATTAAATCAATAAAATATAGGCTGAATGTACAACATGGGTGAAATAAGCAAAGAATTCGAAATATTTGGAGGGGTATTATAACAAAAGGTGTTGACTTCAAGAGCAAAATGCAGGTAGGAGAATAATTTCTTTGAATAAATCAAAGAATATGATACCTGTGAAGCGAGATGTCCTGACTTCAATTCTTCAATTCCGAACACTCAGTTAATTGGCTGAGAGAAATTGAATGTGTTATGTGAAGAGTTGAAGGAATTCGCTGTAAGAATAAGTAATCCGAAATGTGAACGAAAGTTAAAACACTTGAATCATAAGTTTAAAAATTCTATTCCTACATCACAGAAAACAAGGAACAATCGGTTAATGCTATTTACGGAAACACTCGATAGTTATTTTGGAGTTCATTCCAAACTTATAAATGTATTCCGTGAGCTATGGGGCCCACCCAGCCTCCGATCCAATGGGTACCGGGGGCTGTTTCCCCGGGAGTAAAGCGGCAGGGGCGTGAAGGTGACCACTCACCTTCATCTAGTGCCGAGGTCAAAAAAATGTGGATCTATATATCCACCCCCCACACGACTTCATGGCGTAGTTTTTAATTCGTTGAGCACTTGCTTCATGAAGGCGCTGTCCATAGTGTGCTTCCACATACATACCGAAATCTGCACACTGAAAATAAATAAGAGCTGACATCTTATAAAAAACATAGACAACAAATATATATTGGTTATCAGATCCAATGTTATTTGTATATTTTCTAATACATTTCTCGATTAACTTCTGCATATTTTATTAGATTGCATTCGTGCCCAAAAGGCAGTACGGATATATTTGCGATAAAATATTCTACAGATATTTCTGCCTATTTATCTATTATATTTTATTTATTGTGGCAGGTGGATGGAGATCGCATCTCATTCATGCCATCGCTCATTATTATCACCAGGGGTGACCCCACCGCTGTCACGACTTTCATTCGCCAGGTCGGTCACAAGGAACCATTGCTTAACCCACTGTGCAGTTTCCATCCGCGAGGTACCTGCCCCTAGCCCATTCATATGGTCGATCTATTTTAAAATAATCTTCAGAGAATTACGCGTGAGTATGGAACAAGTTCTCGACAGACAAGACCATGGTTTGTGAACGGCACTACCTTCTAATTACATACAATACGAGGGAGAATGAGTAAATAAGTCACAAATTGATATAAAACGTAAAACATGCGATATTCGAACGTGGGAAAAAAATTTGTTTCTCGATATATCCTCCATCAACATTGATATACTTGTACTTGTCCGTTCGCTTTACCAGTATGTCGAAACCCGCAGCAGAGCAATTTTTTGACTGTTGTCTCAGCTACTTTTGCACCTCCGCTTAATCATCTGAGACTTTCGAACGTCCTTGAGAAAATGTCTCGACCCAGTTGTGAAGCGCCTTGCGCGACAAACACTTCTCCCCCAAAACAGGCAACATTTCTTTATGAGTATCCTTCGCATTGGATCTTTTTCACACAATAAAAAGCACAGAAGAACTCTGCTCTTCGGTATTACACCTTTCAAGCACGATCGCCATTTTGACTACTGAAACCAGCCTCTTAATATTCTCATGCGTGTCTGTTATCTAGACTGTCATGGAGCTGGACTGTGCTGTTACCTAGTGACACATATAAAAACCTATTACATCCATTACAGTTGTTATACTTCAATTTGTGACCTATTTACTGACTCCCTCGCACTTAACAGTTTCATTGTTTGTCACGGCAACCTGCCATACGTCTCTCATTAAATTGGTTCCCGTTAATACTCATAATTCTTAAACATCTCTCTCTGCGACTACTATCTCTTTGCCTGGCCGTCTCACTTGCCACCCCACTTTTTTTATTGCTAGTGGGGTGGGACTAAGTCCTTGTACTGCGGCCACTTATGGCCTATTGTACCAGCCCCAGATGATAGGTGAGGGTGAGTGTGGAGCAATTGGTGGAATGAAAATTGGCAAGGGAAACCGAAGTACTCGGAGAAAACCTGCCCCAGAGCCACTTTGTCCACCACGAATCCCACTTGCCCAGACCCGGGATCGAACCCGGGCCGCCGCGATGGGAAGCCAGCGACTAACCGCTTGAGCTCTGGCGCGGCCTGCCACCACACTTACTTATTTACCGTCAAAAACATTCAACTCAGCTCTCTAGAGTTCATGACTACAGCTCGGTGGATGGTTCTCCCCCATATTCAGGTACTCCCTCTGGGTCAGAATTTTGTCGAGTTACCTTCAGAAGGATGTCACTCTGTCCATCCCGAAATAAATTGTCGAACACTCTCTTCGGGCTATTGCTACCAGTACAGCAAACCAGTGCTTTTTTTTCTCGAAACGAAGATCAGTTGAGGCGGTTACACTAGATGCCTTCCGCGTTCTTAAAATGTGCACAATAAACATCAGTTAATTCTTGACTGTTTGCATACTGACTATTCTTCCGGGTTGTAGAGTTGAAGGAGCCAACATTTCCAATTTCTAAATGTACGAAAAACATGAAGAGAAAAGGTCAGGTCATAACATGGTTATACTGAGTTGAAGTTTTTTTTATATTTTATTTTACGTCAATTTACAATCTACTTGAAAACTGCAAGTAATAAGTAAATGCGATGGGTGCTTATGTCGTGAAGGCGGCAGCTGCCCAGTGGCAGTACTCTACCTTTTAGTTAAATAAGTCTTCTGGCCAAGTTGTCCTCAGTCGTCTTGCTGCTGGGTGCGGTTTCGTTAATTCAACGATTAGCGGGTTCTCGTGTCCTGTTATCCGAGTACGGTGTCTGGTGGTATGTTTTCTGATCTCTTCCGTGATGAGGGGTATGTTGAGATCGTTGTGGATAGTTCCGTTTGTTACGTACCATGGTGCGCCTGTGATTCTTCGTAGTGTTTTCGATTGGAATGTTTGGAGGATTTTGGTATTGGATGGTCGAGCGCAGCCCCACAGCTCGATGCCATAGGTCCATATAGGTTTTAAGAGTGCCTTGTATAACAGGGTTTTGTTCTCCAGGGACAATTGCGAGCGTTTTCCTAGCAGCCAGTGCAGCTGTCTCACTTTCAGCGTTAACTGTTGGCGTTTCTTTTTGATATGAGTCCTCCACGTGAGTTTTTGATCTAGGTAAAGACCTAAGTATTTGACTTCGGCGTTGCGTGGTATGTTCCTGTTGTTGATTGTTGTTTGCGGACAAGTGGTTCGGCGATTGGTGAAGGTGATTCGGACTGATTTCTCGTTGTTTATGCTCGTGCGCCATTTGTGGAACCACTGTTGTAGGAGATTTATGTGGTTTTGTAGGTTTGCGGAGGCAGTTATCGGGTTATGGTTCGCTGTGAGTATCGCCGTATCATCAGCAAATGTGGCCAATACTGTGTTGTCGGTGGTTGGTAGGTCAGCCGAATATATCAAGTATAGGAATGGGCCCAGAACACTTCCTTGCGGTACTCCCGATTTTATGTTGCGGATGCCCTGAGTTGAAGTGAAAGAATATTTCATCGCAATTTTGGCTTCTTCTGTCAATGTTTGTCGTACTTGAATTTTTCTTGGGGGCTCTGACATCTGCTCACCTTTTACCGGTATGTAGCATAAAACAGTAAGGTGATTGTGAATTGTAAAAGGCGTGGAGAGAGTAGATTGTTGTCTATGTTAAGATACTAACCCAGGATTTATAAATACGTGAGTAAGTCTTAAGCACCGGCCGCACTTTACACCCCAGGAAGATTCCTGGTATTCATTTCTGTTAGAGGCTGAGTCGATCGCAGGGCAATAGTGCAGCTGGAAGGATCAGGTAAATTAAAAAAAATCCACCTATTCGGGACTCGAACCCGCGACCATCCGGCTTGTAGCATAATGCCTCAACCAACTACGCTACTACGAGCCCCTTCTAGTGAATGAGAGAGCACATTAAAATAGAACATAAAATTATAATTATCTTCGTATTTCTTGTGACGATATACAGCATCGTTAAATGGTCCAGTAATCTGCATCTCGCGTAGGGTAAACTTACCCAGTTTCGTGACACACATTGTTTCCATTTGAAGCCATCTACGTAGAACTGCTAATACTGCTGCATGGTGACTTTAGAAGGCATTTGAATGCTATAAGTCGCAAGAATGGCAGCTACCAGTTTCGACAGAAGTTTATTTTAGGAGTGTGAAGATTAAGAACCACACAGTTCAGCAATAACTGGATAATTGCTGTATAAAATAGTATTCACAGAAACTTCGATTACTTAAGGAAATATTTAGCTGCATATAATTTAATCTTAATTCATGTAAACTTTACATAACATCGAAAGAGACAAAGAAGTTCAAATTGAAAAGAAATTATCAGCGTATAAAGTAGGTGCATAAGTTTGGTACGGTGTCTAATAGGACACTGTGTCAATATTTGTTGT